ACATTGATCACATTGGTCATATTGATTACATTGATCACATTGGTCATATTGATTACATTGATCACATTGGTCATATTGATTACATTGATCACATTGGTCACATTAATCACATTGATTAAATTGATCACATTGGTCATATTGATTACATTGATCACATTAATCACATTGATTACATTAATCAATTTCTACAAAGATCAATGAAATCATTGTAGAAAGAGATGGAAAAAACGAAAGCGATCATTTTTTTTTCTGATTATAATATAATCAAATGTGAAATAATATTAGATATAAATTAAAATGATTTGGAAGAAAAAAAGGTGAATGATTCAAATAAAAGTATAAAATTAAATTAAAACAATAATAAGAAGTAGCTACTATTATTCATATAATGTCATCCATTTTGATCGTACCACATGAAATCAAAATGAAACTATAAAACGAATATAAATAAACTTTAATTTGCATAAGTAATTTAAATTGATCACTTAAAAATTGCTAATTAATAAAGATTAATTAGTCACAAATTTACCATCTTTCATATCGCATTCCTTCTATCATTTTTGCTATTGTTTGATTTAATTGATTTTTTTCATCTCCTCATTAATTAATTTTCAAATTTTGTTTAAATATGAAATTTTTCGAAATTTTTGAAATATATTTGATAGATTTATATGATTACAATACGATTAATTCTCAAACGTAACATCAAATTTTTCGAAATTTTTGAAATTTTTCAGATTTTCAAATAAATGCAAAAAATGCTAATCGCATTGAAGCGTTTAACAAAATTATCATAATTAAGAAGGAATTTTCAAATTTTTGGCAACAATTAGCAAATATGTTTATTGATTATTTGAAATCAAATTTACCATCACGAAATCATACAACTCCACAATATTACACATGTTTTGGACGAGTACATGTTCAAGTATGTTTTATTTAAATTATCAAAAATTCAATCAATTTTCTTTTTTATTTTTAAATGAATTTAATTTCATTCGACATATGCCATTTTTAAACTTATTTTTACAGATAGCTTTACAACTTATTATAATTGTAACATTTGCATGGGATATATTTCGATGGATCGATTTCATCGCCAATCAAGGAGTAACATTCGGTTTTTTTTATTGTTTTACAAAAATACCTATAGTTGCTGACTAAATTAAAATTTTTTTCAAATTATTTTGCAGCCTTAATTAAGAAAAATTATTACAGTCCATTGTTGTTAGTAGTTTTCATCGAAAAATTACTGTATTTATCAAAATTTTAAAGTATAAATTATGATATTTCCTTAATTTTTACATTCATTACTATTTTATTGCATATAATTAGTTGCTTTATTGCAGATTTTATTGCAATCGTAATTTCTATATCTTTTCATACATTTATTATTTTCAGTTATTGATTAAATTTTCAATGATATCCATTTAATGATAATTAAAATTTGAATTCGAATTATTATAGGATGGATAGAAATTTTTGCGGAAATTTGCAATGCCTTATTTGGGATTTCATTAATTATTGCTTATTGCTTTAAATCAGCATCTTTCTTACTACCATATCTTTTTCTTCAGGTTTTATCCATTTAAATTTTAATTTCTTAATCATAGTTTCACCAATTTCATTTACGTATTTATATGGATAGTAAGATGAAATCTATTTTTAATAATGTAATAGTAATAGGTTTTGTTCTTTTATTAATATTTCCTTTTATATTAATTAGAATTGATATTTTTGCTTCTATTATTTACAGCATATGCTCATTTGTAAAAAAAAAAAGAAATATATTTAAAATTTACAACAAATTTGCAAAAGTGTTTCAAAATTTAAATGAATAAAATTTCATTTTTAGCTATTTACTCTGGTAGCTTCAATGATTTTATTTTGCGTAAGCATTTTAACTGTAATATGGCCAAAAAATTCTTGGGCATCTAGCTTTCATACTTATCAATCAACAAAAGCATCCAGTAAGATCCACTTTTCTTCTTCCTTTTTTTTTTTTCTAATTATCTTTATTGTATAATATATGCAGCAATAAATGATTTTTAATTATTCCTTTAGTAAGATACAAATGATATTTTGTCGTATAAATCCTTCTCACATTAATATTAAAAAATTTTTTATTCAAAAATTATTAGACTATTACTTCTAGTATATTTTACAAAAATCATTTCCATAGTAAATGAATTTAAAAAAGAAAAAAAAAGAAATTAATGAAATATCGCAATTTTTCTCTCATCATTCATTATAGTGACAATAAACTTGAATAACTTTTTCAAATTAATTACAAAATCTTATTATGAATATTTGCAGCTGTTTTAAGAAAAAATATTTCAAAAATTTCAAAAATCTGATATCTTCCCCTTTTCTTTTTTT